GGGGAAATTAAACAAGCCCAGAAACCTCTTGGCTGCTCCATTCTCTGTGCAAGGCAAAGAGACTGGCCCAAAGACAGCTCCAAGTGAGTATGTGCTGCTGTTGGACAACACCCCAGAACAATCTCTCCTGCTGAGGGACTGAGCTCCACCAATGTGACAAGGGTCTTCAGCTTGGGGGGATGTGTTACCAGTGCAATGGATGCATTTGCTCTGCATGGTTATACTGTGAGCTGTGCTCATATAAAGCATAAATCTCTCCCACTGGCAATCCATCTCTTCAGCAACACTTCATTTGCTCAGGAAAACTGTCATGGAATCAAACTAAATCTGAGAAATGGCCATACTGGTTTTGCTGGGAGCAACTGAGTTTCAACAACAGTGTCAGAACAGTTTCTGTACTCCTAAAGGCCTCTGGTTTAATAGACTCAAAAGCCTTTTTTTCCTGCTAAGGATTATGTTTTTTAGTACCCCCAAGAATATCTGGAGTTCCTGTCCCAAGTAGCTGGGATGCTCAAGTTCAATACTGATTCCCAGCACAAGGAATTGTCTCCTTTTAGAAGCATCTTAATCCTATAAGCACAATATGAAAATATGTTCACAGGGCATCAAAGTTTATCTAGTACCAAAAGATACCAGCTTTCATGGCATGATTATTTCTTATCAAACCCAAGACAGTAAGATTCACCAGATAAAGTGGATGACCTTGGTAAGGAAATGAATGATTTTATTTTTATATACACTTCAATTGAACAAAACTGATTATACATTCATGGAGGATTACACAGCCACTGATGCATCTGGGGCAAGATGTGATCTACAGAACACCACAGGTTTGATGACTTGCTAACCTGTGTTCCTCCCCTTGTCACCATAGAGAGCACACTGACTTTCAAATTAGATCCTCTGTCCTCCCACAACTGAAGATTTTCTGTACTAAAACCTTTAAAAGTGCAGGAATTCTCTCTTCTGCTGTCTGGAGAGGACCAACAGCTCCATTTGGAACCACCTGAGGCAGCTGGGGGTGTGTGAGCCTGGAGGGAGCACCAGCAGCTCTGTCCCTCCTGGCTACAGCCAGTTTTCTCTTGGATAGCCTGGGGGTTAAAGCAGAATCCTGCCCAACGTGGTGCTGCTGCAGCTCTGGTTCCTACCCTCAAACACTCTCAGTGCCACAACATAACACTTCAACCTGCACAGCTTGGCCTCTTACCTGTTGTTCTAAACCACATCTCATCAGGCAGGACAAACACTGGGAAACCCTCAATGGGCATGAGTGAAACACCTTCAGGTGTGCTGATCTCACCTGTGCCCATGAGTCCTCAGTCACTGTGAATGTTAGCACTGCTTTGTTTCTACTGGAAGGAATGGGAAACATGATATTCCACACTTCTATGAATTGCACAAATGCAACAGGTTCTTTTTCAAAGTGATAAACAAATATATAAAGAGTGGGAAAAAAAGGCTTGTCCTTACTCTTTTATTGATGCTCCTGAGGAGGCTCTTCTCTTTGGATGGGGGCACAAAGCCACTATGTGGAGGATCACTGGGAGTCAGTTCTTCTCCTCAGGGAAGAAAATGCACATCACAAATCACACACAGCTTCTTTGTGAGCCAGAGTGACCTAAGAACCCCTAACAGGATCCTTGCTGTGACAGCTGCTATCATCAGCCTGGCTGGGTTGAAGGCTCAGCCTGTCCCTCATGCCCTTTTGGAGGGTCTGGCTCTGGGCTGGGACAAGCTGTGGAGACCTTAGCACCATTCAGCTGTTAGTTATATACATTATAGGCCCAAGGGTCATTTGCTGCAGTTTAGCAGGGAAAATGAGGAACATTACACCCAAGTGCCAATGCAGACAGGTGAGCCTAGGAACCAGGTCATCTCTCACAGGTGAACAGGAGACACAGCACACTCTGCTGAACAGCCAGACCACTTTAAGGCATAGCATTGACCTTGAAATGTGCAGTTGTGCTCCACATGCAACTGTGACTGGGGACATTTAGAGAGCTGTCCATAGAGGACTTGCAGGTGTTGTATTTTTTCAACCCTGTATAGGTACAGATAAACTTGAGGATGGTGTGATTGATGTCCAACATTAACTCATCCCTCCTGTGCATCTCTCATCCAACTGTCTCAAGACCTGAAAAGACAGTGCACACAACAGAAAGGCTGTCCAGAGAGAATCATGGAATCACAGAATGGTTTGGGGTGGAAGGGACCTTAAAGCTCATCTCATTCCACCCCATGCCATAGGCAGGGACACCTTCCACTAGATCAGGTTTCTCCCAAACCCATCCAACCTGGCCTGGAACACTTCCAGGGATGGAGCAGCCACAGCTTCTCTGGGCAACCTGTGCCAGTGCCTCACCACCCTCACAGGGAAGAATTCCTTCCCAGTATCCCATCTAGCCCTGCCCTCTGGCAATGGGAAGCCATTCCCCATTGTGCTGTCACTGCACATCCTTGTGAAAAGTCCCTCTCCAACTCCCCTGCAGGCCCAAGATACGCAGGGATGAGGATTTTGTCCCAGCTGTCGAACACATCCAGACTCCCTCCTGAACATGTCCAGTCCCTCCTGGCAGAAAATAGTTTGGTATCTTTCATGGAATGTTAAAATAAAATTTAGTATCTGCTGTCCAGGAGAGCTCTTAAACACTGGGATTTATGAATCATTTCAGAAATGGCAGGCTGATTGTGTCTAAAGCTTATTGCAGGAAAATGTGTCCCAGTATCACCTCTTGGACCAACACCAACAACTTGTGGGTGCTGTCATGGTTCCCTAACTTAGCACAGCATAAATCTGGCTTGGTGTGGCTGAAGGCACTAGGGACAGTGCTCACAAAGCTGCCAGAACTCACCAGGTTGCTCTGCTGCCTGAGCATGGCCAGTATCAATGTACCACTGAGTAAGAGTAAGTCCTTCCTTGGCCAACTCAACCAGGTCCTGCAGGGTCTGAACATCCTTCTGGCTGGGGGATAAAAACTGCCCATCTCTTTCGGGGCCTGACTTGGATTCAGTACAAGTTTGGCCTCCAACTTCTGTGCCAGTGTGCTCCTGAGAGCTGAGGTCAGGCTGAATTTGCTGGGATGCTGCTGGCTGGTCAGATCCCACCGATGGCAGAGGGTTCTCTGGCTTATCACTCTGATCAGAAGAGGAGGAAAAAAATGACACTAATAAATCAGGTCTCATTTTATGCATTTGCAAAGCTTAGACTACAATCTCTAGTCCATACTTTTAAAAGATGCAGTGGAGGATCCCAGAGCATTCCCCAGGTACAGGGCTCCCTAAGGAACAGCCCTGGTTTATGAAGGACCCTCTAGAGATAAGACAGTTCTGAAATGAAAAAAAAAGAAAACTACAACAGAAAATATAGAAATGAAGATCACAAAACTTGCCTGTGTAAGACCAGGGGAGAGCAGGGCACAAGCAGTGAGTGTGCAGGGGCAGTGGGTCACTCCTTTGCATTCCAAATGAGGCAACAGAAAAGATACAGGGCAAGTGAATCAAGGTATACATGTATCAGAGCAAGGACAACATCTCACCTCCAAGGTACACACGTATCAGAGCAAGGACAACATCTCACCTGCACAGGCTTCCAAGGCACAATTGGAGGGGTCAGTGCTGCAGTGTAGAATGTCTCGGTGTCATAGGGTTCTGTCAGAGCACTGATCTTCCACAGAAAACTTTCTTTGGCTTTGGACAATGGCAGGAGCCAGGTGGCTTTCCCAGATTCATCCTCCAAAATCCTACTAGTGGGAAGCTGAGGGGTGGGAGGGAATTCCACCTCTTCTGCAAGCAGCATGGCTACTCTCTCCTGGATCCTTTTGCGCACCTTCTCCGGGTCCTGCAGCAGCAGTGGTGGAGGGGCCGTGGGGCCTCTCCTGCGCCGCTTCTTCTCTTTGGACAGAACAGGAAGAGGAACCCAAATCAACAACAGCTGAGCACACAAGGCAGGGGAGATCAGCACAACAGCTCCTTCTGTGCTGTAGGCAGTGATGACCAAAAGGCAGCTACAAGCTGAACACTACTCGAGACTTCTGCGGGTCTGAAGCCTCACATCACCCTCATGAACTCTGGAGAGGACTGACTCCTCCTCACCCTGCTCTGCTCCCTGTTGAGGGCTGTCACATCTCTATGAAATCTGATCATTATGGAAGCCACTGACAGCCATGCAGTCTACCTCCAGATCCACAGAACAGTGCCTGCTCAGAAAGGGGAGAGAAAACTACCCACAAACCCACAAAGGACTCCTTCCTGTGGTCTGGTCATGGATGATATCAAACCACAGCTCACACAAACACTGGGCAGCTTTCACTTGGAAATCCACTGTCTTAGTACTTTTGCCTTACTAATGCCCAACCCAAATCCAACTGGGAGTGCTTATTGGCAGGAGGAGACCTGAGTAGGGTCATGAGGAGTGAAGTCTCCCCTCCATACAGCTCTCAACACTCTCCCCTGGCAGTTGTTTGCCTCTCTAAACCCTTCTGCACGCTGACAGAGTGAGGCACATGCTCAGCAGCATGTGGTGCACACACATGCTCACTGCAGAAAGGACACAGAGAGAAGAGATGGCTCAAAAAGCTGCATTAATGCAGGCTGCAGCAGGCTGAATAGGAAAAAACCTACTGCAGAAGTAACAATCATGTTTTCATGTTATTTCTCCTCACTTCCACAGTTTACAAAATCAACAGCTTATTTTACGAATATGTTACAGATTCAAAACAGACAATCAGTGAAAAAAAAAGCCTGAGATTCCTAAGGGATTTCACTGAAACTCGTGGACATGCTGTAGCCTTTCTTGACTATGTATGGGCACTGCAGATTGTCGAAGCTCTGACAGCTTAAATAAAACAGAAACAGGGCTGTCAGCCCTCCTGAGCCCCAGAGGAAGGCTCAGTGCAGAGCAGGCTGTGCTACATCACTCCTGCAGTAACACAGCCTCTGACACTAACCCGCTGTAACACGTACCTGAGCCTGGCTTCCATTTGATTGGGAAAGCAGCCACTGGTTTCACATTTGCAAGTGATTTTGCTTGTTCCTGCTTTTCTTGCTCCAACAGCGAGCGTGACATTGCCATGGCAACCTGCAAATCTTCATCCTTAGGCTCCATTTTGGCCCTCTTCTGTGTTTTCCTCGAGTCCTCGTTGGAGGAGCCTTTTCGCTTCGCCCTGCTGGGCTGAGTGCTGAAACCCAAGAATGCAGCAGGAAGCCCCAGTTAATGTGACTGGATCAGAGACAGGAAACACTGAGCACTCCAGAGCAGCTGCTCTGCTTGCTCAGAGAGATTCCCATACCAAGCATAATGAGAAACCATTCAGTACTTTCTTTCCTAGCAGAAAGCAAAGGATTTCTTATCATTCATGGAACTTAAGAGTAATTTAGACAAAGTCCTGTTTTAGAAAGGCAAGCACAGGGCCACAGCACTGATGGAAGCATCTGCTCTCTCTACCTTGAATGATCTTTTGTTTGCAAAGGGGAAAAACCAAGTTGAAGCAGGACAAACACAAGATCACCAGAAAATGATTTTGAGTTTCTGCTCAACTCAGACACAGCTCTGCACAGAGCACATTCCAAAACATCACCTCTGCTCTTCCCCAGAGGGTGGTTGGGCACTGGAATAGCTCCCAAGAACAGTGGTCATGGCCCCAAGCGTGACAGAGCTCAGGGAGTGTTTGGACAATGCTCTCAGGCACATGGTGGGATTGTTGGGGTGTCCTGTGCAAAAGTTGGACTGGGTGATCCTTGTGGGTCCCTTCCAGCTCAGGAGATTCTATGATTCTCTGATCCTCCTCACCTGGTACTGAGTCATAGCTCTACTTAACCTGTTTGGACATGGGCCTTGCCCAGCATGTCAGTCAGCACTGATTGTACCATTCAGCTCCAGTTCAATGTCTCTCAGGCCAAAGGAATCAACCAGCACCTTTTATTTCTACCAGCTTACCTGGGACACTGAAGAGGTGCATCACCAAGCGTGGACACCTGCAACTGCACTGCCTGCAGAAGTAGGTTGGGAGGAACCTCCATCTCCACAGCACAGCGTTTCAGGTGACTGACTCTGCTCTGTGGGGTTTGGAACTGCTTCCCACAGATGGGACATTCGGGGACCACTGGTTTGCTGGAGGATGACATCTGTGCCTCTTCCATCTCATCCAGACACCTGTGAGACCATGGCAAAGCTTACCTATGGCGACTTTAAAAGTGTCCATGCTAAGACTTAAGTTATATTAAAGGAAGCACAATCATCTCTGATACCTGTAACAGCCAGGAACATCCTCTAAAGAAACAAGAACTATGTGCTCACCACTGTGATGAACAGGACACGTAACAGCCACAGGAAGATTACAGCCTCAGAGGCATATTATAAACATATTGCCCAAAGGCAAGTGCAGGTAATAACCTTAGAATCACAGAATCCCAAACTGGTTTGGGTTGGAAAGACCTTGAAGCTCATCTCGTTCCACTCCCTGCCATGAGCAGGACACCTTCCACTAGCCCAGGTTGCTCCAAGGCCTGTGCAACCTGGTCTTAAACATTCCCGGGGTGGGAAGTCCACAACCTCTCTAGCCAAGCCACTTCATTGTGTGTCCATCACCTAATTCCTCTTTCTGCACTCCTTCTAGCATTCCAGCTAACCTATAAACCCGTTTGCAGAAAGGGGAGCAGTTGGATTAACACCACACTCAAAGAGTGCCGCACGATGAATTTCTAATAACTTCTGGTAGACAACAATACCAGTAAACATTACTAACAGAATCATAAATGATTCCCCTCATGGAAAAGACCTTTAAGCTCCCCAAGTTCCTTTACCCTGGCAGCTCCTCTGCCACACTGCTGCTGAAAGAGCATCGGCCTGGCCACCCACAGCCCTGCAGGGCATCATCAGCCTCTGCTTTCAGATCCAAACGAGTTGTTAATTCAAACCACAAAGGTCAAGGTCACTCTGCAGAATCCCTGCTCCCATGCTTTTTCCTGGCTGAGTTGAGCCAGCAGCCTGTGGATGCAGAAAGGACAGATCCTGCTGGAGTCTCACCTGTTGACATGCTGCTCTCGTCGCGTTGTGTTCATGGCCGAGAGATCCTTCTGGCAGATCTGACAAAAGAACAAACCTGCATCCTCCAGGCTTGCCAGGGCTTCCTCTTTGCTTTCCTGCTGCAGAGCCAAGGCCAGAGCACCATCATGTTCAACAGATGGGAGATGGAAGACATCTGGCAAAGAAAGGAGAGGTGAGCTAAGAGAGGAAGCTAAGAATCCTGAATGGAGCTGTTACTTTGTCATTATTAGTTTGTTAAACTAGACACACAAAAATTAACTGAAATCCTTCTCTTGCATCTTCACACCTGATCTCTCACAGGGAAAGTGCAATCTGCACCCCTGGAATGCTCCAGGACTGCACTAGTCTGGGAGCAGGAGGCCCTTTGCTCACAGTGCAGCACACGTCAGAGCCAATGAAGGGTCAGTTTTGGCTACAGTTTCTGGGGAGAACATGGGATCTGATAGACCAAATCACAGGTGATAGATCAATTTGATGACAGTAGATCAAATGTGTAACACACCAGACTTTCATGTCCACACAGAATCAACATTGTCAATAAATATTCCTCTATAATGAACTCAACCAGAGCAAAATTGCTGTGAATTCAATTTATATCTGCAGAGAACACATCATCTGGCAGGTGCCTGGAGATCTACCAAAGATGGAGGCTTACCAGGGAGCCATATTTCCCTAACAGCTACTAACACTGTCCCCAGGGAGGGATGACCAAATGATGACCAAATTCACTGATCCTGTGATCCTGTTTCCAAGAAGAAAATGATCTCTCCAGAATCCACATGAGGTTAATGCAGCCTCAGAGAAGAGCTGGGAGAAGAGTACAGACAGTCCTTTAACAACAGAGAAAGGAAGCTTTTTCAGGGATCTGGAGTGATTTATTCCGTGCAGCACACCAGGCCAACTGGGAACAAAGCCCAGGACTGCTCCTCACGCCACCACCATTCTCACCACCACTCATTCTGCAAGAGCTCGCAGGAGAAACATACCATTCTCTGGAGAGTTGTGCTCCTGGCTCCCAGGAGGGAGATCCCTGCTGGCTGCAGCCTGTGGCACACTCCCAGGGGTGCAGAGCCTCAGCTGCTCGGGTGCCACTCTCTTGAACTGCTGCATCCTCTCCAACACCAGCTCGGCCACGCGCAGCCTCGGCCCTGCTGAGCCTGGAGGGGGTGAGGAGCAGGGCCCTGGCTGTGCAGCAGGCAGCAAGGGCAGTGTGGTCTGGGAACAGTCACTTGCAGTATTTACTGGAGGGAGACAAAACACCAATTTTCCCAGTCAGTTTTAGACCCATGCTGAGAGCTGCTGGGCAGCTTCCCCAGACCAAGCTCTGCACCAGCTTAGAGGAGAAGGGAAGGATGTGTTTAGTTATGACATGACTTTACACTCAGTAACCACAGTAACAGCATCAGGCTTCTGTGCTGCAGAAGATGCTGTTTAGACATCTCTATAGCCCTTTTAGAGGAAGCAATATCAGGGAAGGCCTTGCCTGAAGTTCACTGGTAAGAACAAGGAAGGCACCCCATAGCCCTGCTCTCCCCAGCATTGCCACCACAGTGTCCTGCTCCTGGCTGCCCTAACTTATCAGTGCAAGGACTTCCTGCACTGGTGACTGCACTCTGGTCATTCAGATCATAATCACTGAAGGACCAATCCTTTATGAATTAATCCAATGCCCTTCTTAGCTCGTTCATGTTTTTTCCCTTAAAAGCACCCAGCACCAATGTATTTCACCATACAACAATGCACAAGAGTGAAAAGGCACCTCAATATATTCTAAGCTTGCTTAGATGATTTGAGGGTGGTTTTCTCAGTTCTGATACTGCAAAAAACAGTGAATAATGACCCCCCAGCACATCACTTTGCACCAAGGCTTCACCTTACTGAGGGACACCTGCCTGCCTGCAGCACAGACCACACTCACAGGTTAAACCCCTAAGTAGGTGGGTGAAGGTGGAAACTGCTTCCATCTGTGCTCCAGAAATGGACTTCTCAAGAGCTCCACTGAACTACAGAGTCTTCTCAGCCCCGGCCCATTCTCTGTTTGAAGGATTTTGGTTCACTCACCTGTTGGAGACATCTGGCTACACTCAGTGGCTGCTGTGCTCAGCTGGCTGGCAGGCAAAGGGCTTCTCCTTCCATCCCCTTCTGCAGTTTCACCACTACAGGCTGCAGCATCACCATCCTCTTTGTGCACCAATGTTTGTTCCTTTGGACCTGAATCTCGAGGCAAGTTTATGTCCTTCACTGCTGGTAAGAGATGGGTTTGGCTCTTAGGAGCAGCTTTGCCTCTTCTTAATTTGCTTCTTGCTGTGGTGTTCTTTGACCTGTTCTGAGCCCTCTTTGCTGCCTCAGCATCCCCAGCCTTCTTCTTTGCCCTACTCAAAATATTTGCCCACAATTCTTTAAAATCATTGTCCTGTTCATCCATTGGCCTGAAGACTCCAGGCACACTGTGGCCTAACAACACTGAGGAGTGGAGGACAGGGGAGATATACCAGAATCAGTTCAGGTTTGCATCAGCCCTTCCAGCACCTCAGAGATGTCCATTCTCCAGACTCCAAGGAGGTCAGAAAGTGGGCACTTGTGACAGTTCCTTCTTCCATACTTAATTCCCAGTCACCCAGTAGAGCATGTTCTCTCTCCAAGGATCCCACCTGATTTCACAAGTCAGTTCTTCAGAGGACTCTGGACTGTAAGTGAAGCACCTCAGGTTGTGCAGAGCACATGTAGGATCGTCCTGACAGGCTACAGGACGTAAAAAAGACACTTACCAAAACCCTTAAACAAAGAAGCAGAAACAGGTGGTTATGCAGGTTGGTGTGTGCAGAGGCAGTGTGGGACAGCCTGTACACTGCCCCTGTGCTGACCCCAAACACTGTCCTTTTACCTGTTTTATAGACATGCCCAAGCTACACTGGGGAAGAAAAGGAAAGCTTTTCAAACAGATACCTGATACAGGGTAGGCTTTTGTCCTAGAGCTCAGGATTTGAGACTGTCCTTTTTTAATACACATTCCTACATGCATTTTTATGACACAAGACCAGTGAATACAGCAGGGGAGGGGAAAAAACTGTCCTTCAGCTCAAGCAGCTACTCTGGAGTGTAAAACTCTGCTTTGAGACACTGCAGATCTAGAGAGGAGAGCCCAATCTCACTTCGAGAAGTAAATAAATGGAGTTGCTGGGACAAGGCAGCGAACACTTACATCAAACATGTTCACCCTTTCCCTCCTCTTCCCTCCACAGCTGCTCACTGTAGGGTTAGCTCTCCTGCTCATACTGAATTCTGCCCAAGTCCTCAATAAACTGTGGCACTGACCATGTTTCACTAGCTATTGTCACATATATGATGTAAACAGACTAAACCAAAGAGCTTCTTAATCTTTTCAGCCACAGTAAGAGCAGCAGCACTTGGCAGGGATGACTTGGAACAGCACTGGGTACAATGTCCAGATGGAAATACCATCAGCTCCCAAGCAACAGTAAAACTAAAGCTCTATTCTTAGACATTTTGATTGTCCTCTCTTCCTAGTCCTGAGTTCACTACAGCTCTGGCTGCTTTACCAGAGGTTTTATATTGCTCCCAAAACCTACTTCTTTCAAGCCTAAACCAGAGTGTTTCACTTGGAATGGCAGCAGCTGTGGTTCAGTTTCTCCAGGAAAGCTCTGGGCACAGAAAGACTCAAAAAAGCAGGAAAAACACATGCAGGAGTGTTTTCTCAAATGGCTTGGCTGCAGACATGTGAGGCTGAGGAATGCTGGTTGCACACTTCCACGGGTCAGCCTTTCCTATAAGCAATTACAGATGGTAATGGATTTATTTACTTTAAACTCAGGCTCCCAGACCAGCAGAGGATTTTGCTGTGAATCTTGGAGTCATTTCCTGCTAGAGAGAAACTAAAGTTCTATGTAGCCAGTGCATAAATTTACTTTTGCTGTACAGAATCTTAGTGCAGTTATCACTGTAAATTGACAATTTTCCTCTAAGGAGGAGACAGCATGTGGAGAAATCCCAAATCTCTCTTCCTCCATGGCTTTAAATACCTCTCACAGACACATCTGTACTGTTGGATTATTTATGGTGAGTTGCTGATATTAAACTTCCAAACAGATCAGCACTATTGCATTTGCAATCAGTGTTCAGTGCCCCAGGCAGATCAGATCAGACATATAAACGATGTAAAACTACCTATGAATTTTTCTGTTGTACTCCTCCCTTTTCAGACCTGTATTTATTCAACATCTCAGTATTTCTGATGCTGCTGCTATTGCTGCATGTAACAGGCAGCTATGGCATCAGTTTGCAGAGCTGGAAAAGTAATGGCTTTAAAAATAATTTCTTTCAGAATAGTATTGAATTCATTTTGGAAGATTTTAGGACCTAACAAATCACAGAGCTGGTCAAATAAAATAAACAGTGGCACTTACCTACTGCTGAGGTATCAAAACTGTAAGCTTTGCCCTTCAAGTAAACACTGCATCAGCAAAATAGTACAAAGCAGGACCAGGAAGAAAGATGGAACCTGGGAAATGGAAGGAAAATGTTGGATTTAGTGCATTTTGTACTGACTGCTCTTCCTGCTCGAGTTCCAGGGTGCAGGGGGAAGGAGGCAGCGATGATGGGGCTAATGTTTTGCCACTGCCATTGACCTGTGCAGGTGACTCAGGTGCATAACTCAGGACCTGCTCAGCTCAGACTTGAGCCCCAGCATCCCAAGCTGCTGCAGAAACCCCCCTGAGCACTTCAGGAGACAGAATGGGTCAGGCAGTCTGTGGCTGTGGCTGCCCCATCCCTGGAAGTGTTCAATGCCAGGTTGGATGGGGCTTAGATCAACCTGGTCTAGTGGAAGGTGTCTCTGCCCATGGCAGGGGGTGGAACGAGATGAGCTTTAAGGTCCTTCCAACTCAAACCAGTCTGGGATTCTATGATTTTCACACATACCATTTCCCTGTGATGAGGGGAAAAATTGCCCACCCTGCAGCAGACCCTCTCTCCCAGCTCCCCAGCCCAGCCTGCAGCTGCATTCCCAGCTGGCTGCTGAGTCTGCAAGGACATGACAGCTTGGAAAATCACAATCCGATTGTAAGGAGCAACCTGAGCAACCAGCAGTGTCACTGCCCCACTGGCACCAGCCACTTCATGGCCTGATATCCCTCAGCACCACATTCACATATCTGCTCAAGGCAACACCTCCCCCTGCCACCACCTCGTACCTGTGGCAAAGCCACCATAAAATCCACCCCACTCCAGACACAAATCACTACTCACAACAAAATGTGTCTCTACCAGCAGGTCAGTGATAGAAGATGCACTTCACACCTCCTCTGGAAGAGCAAAGGGGAAGTGAACACAACACTCAAAGCTAACGGTCGCTCAGGTGTATGCAAACACAGCAGCACCCAAATCACACAGAGGGGCAGCTGGTGATGCAAAAATCAACTTGATTTAACTGAAAATAACAGCAAGTGATTAATTTAAACAGAAAACTACGACTGGGAATTCAGGATTGGCTAAAACATTTTGGTAGAGGATTCAAAACCCAATAAAGAGAACAAAGCTTGTTAAACCTAACTTGGGTTTTGGAAGAAGAAAGTAATCAGAATAATAATAACAAAGATGTAAAAGAACATCACGGAGAGGGAATTGGATGCACTGACTATAAAAAAATGAATATAAACAATGCAATGTATTAAAACCAGGAGGTAAAACGACCTGGTCAGAAAAGCTAAGAACTTTCAGAAAGATCTTTTTGGTGTCCATCAAAATCAAAAAGAAAAACCTGCCAAGGCCACTTAATGAAACTGTAGAACTGTTAATCCTGCAAATCCTAAATATTCCAAAGCTATCCATCTCAGGGCTGTGTTGGGCAGTGCTGGGCAGTGCTGTGCTGTGTTGGGCAGTGCTGCGCTGTGCTGGGCAGTGTTGTGCTGTGCTGAGCTGTGCTGTGCTGTGCTGTGCTGGGCTGGGCAGTGCTGTGCTGTGTTGGGCAGTGCTGTGCTGTGCTGGGCAGTGTTGTGCTG